CTTGCGCACCACCAAGACAGCTTCGTGCAGTTATATCCCTCGTGCAAAAGTATGGACCGTGAAGCCATCAAAATAGTCAACTGGAACGCTTGCTCGCTCAAGAGCAAATTCATTGAGTTTGTTGATTTTCGGCTCGCAAGGCTAGACCGGACCAGCACCTGCGCATTAAGGAGAAATATTGGCTGTCGACTGCTACCGAGTTTCCAGCTGAAGATGATCGAAGCGGTGGGTGTGGATGTCTCCACTCCTGTCGGCCATATTACAATCATTGCGGCCAACTGTCCCAAACAATCCACCATCAGGAGAGACATCATCACACTAACTCGACGCCGTGAGAAGTACATCATCGCTGGCGACCTGAACGCCAAACACCAGGCTTGGGGCAACAGTCGACGCAACCAAAACGGCACAATCCTGAACGACGACCTGCCTGCAAGAAGCTCACTGCACTCACAACGCCGGACTCTCCCACCCGCTTGAGCCGGTCTGGCGTACACTCCACCATCGACATCTTCGTCAGCAGCATGGGAGACAACATCTCGCAACCTGTGACCCACCAGGAGCTGAGTTCGGACCACTAAACGGTGGTGGCCAATGTGGGCTCATCCGTCAACCAATTCCAAGCTTCCCGACGCAACTACCATCGCGTCAGCTGGGATCAGTTCCAACACTGTGTCGACTCCACAATCTCCACTTCCGGAGACGCCCGAAAACGTTGACCGGTGTCTGCGTTCCATCGAGCAGGCGATATCCCGGGCCAGGGAACAACACTTGTCAGTATCCAGACAGGTGAGCAATACTCTGAACCTTGAGATAATTACCAAAAATCTCATTACACTCCGTAACTCCATTCGAAGGCAAAACCAGCGTCTAGGATGGTGGACTTCAGAAATCAGAATTTGTAGAATTGCTAATAGGATCCGCTCTCTCCCAGATTGTGCAAAACCCTTTTGGAAAGTAACCAAAATCCTTAAAAATAAGCCAAGACCCATTCCACTACTAACCCCACTGAATAGTCCCGGCGACACAGTGGTTCATCTGATAACTCCTGAAGAGAAGGCTCCCGCGATAGGTCAACACTTCGTCAGCTCTCAAAACAACTTGCTACTCGAAGAACAGTTTGGTTTTCGGAAAGGTCGTTCGACCGTCCACCAGCTGACTCGAGTAACAAGCATTCTCAGACGGAACAAGTCTGTGTCGAAAACATCTGCCATGGCGTTGTTGGACGTTGAAAAAGCGTTCGACAATGTCTGGCATGATGGCCTCGTGTTCAAATTGCAGCAGTACGGTCTTCCAATCTTCATAGTGAAGATAATTAACAACTATCTATCGGACAGGACGTTCCGAGTCTCTCTGAATGGCATCACATCGGATGCATTCAACATCGGTGCTGGGATTCCACAAGGAAGCATCCTTAACCCCATTCTATTCAACCTGTTCACGTCCGATATGCCGGCTCTCCCTGATGGTGGATCGTTGTCTCTGTTCGCAGATGACACATCTGCACACATCACAGGGCGTCTTGCCTTCATGCGAGAAGGAGGATGCAACGAGCTCGTACGACCGAAACTCGGGAGGAACGCCGCGTCGCTCTTCGAGCGGCTAAGGCGGCCCTCAACAAAGAAATCGCCAGACGCAAGCGTGCGTGCTTTGACAGCTTATGCCAAAGCGCCAACACGAACCCACGGGCGGATCCCTACAAAGTGGTCATGGCCAAGACCCGTGGTGTGGCGGCACCCCCGGAGAGATCTCCGGCGATGCTACTGAGCGATATTGCCAAGTCGCTGGTGGTGGGCAAGGCCCCGGGCCCAGGTGGGATCCCGGTTGTGGTTCTGAGGGCGGCCGTTGCGGTAAATCCAAACATGTTCCGTTCTGTTTTTCAGACCTGTCTGGACGTAGGCATCTTCCCAGATGCGTGGAAGCGGCAGAGGCTGGTGCTGCTCCCGAAGCCAGGAAAACACCCTGGGGACCCGTCAGTATACAGGCCCATTTGTTTGCTTGACACCACTGGTAAACTGCTTGAGAGGGTCATCCTCAACACTGAAGGTGTAGACGGCCTGTCAAGCAGCCAGCACGGGTTCCGTAAAGGCAGATCCACGGTGAAAGCCATCCGCTATGTCATCCAGACGGCAGAGGTGGTTCACCGGAAGTGAAGGGGTATTCGTTACTGCGCGGTGGTAACCCTAGACGTGAAGAACGCGTTCAACCACGCGTGCTGGGGGACGATAGCCCGCTCGCTACACCAGCTCCGAATTCGACACAGAAGATGGCGAAAAATGCGTTAGAGTCACCGCAGGAGTGCCACAAGGCTCCATCCTGGGCCCGGTGTTATGGAACGTCATGTACGATGGACTGTTGAGAATAAGATTCCCAGTAGGCGTGAAAATTGTAGGTTTTGCCGACGATGTCACGCTGGTAGTCTACGGAAAATCCCTCGAGGAGATAGAGCTAACAGCGGCTCAATGCGTCAAGCTTGTGGAGGCATGGATGAGATCCAGGAAACTGGAGCTTGCCCATCACAAGACGGAAGTGGTCGTAGTCAACAATCGCATGTCGGTACAGCATGCGACGTTGACAGTCGGCGAAAGCACAATTAGGTCTGTGCGCTCTCTGAAACTCTTGGGGGTTATGCTCGATGATAAGCTCAGCTTCGACTGCCACGTCGAGTACGCCTGCAAGAAAGCGTCTACGGCTGTGGGGCATTATCCCGCATGATGTCAAACAGCTCGGCAGTGAATGCCAGTAAGCGCAGGCTCCTCGCTGGGGTCGTAGTATCTATCCTCAGATACGGCGGGTCTGCGTGGGCTGCGGTACTGGATATTGACTGTCACAGGCGGACATTAGAGAGTACACCCAGGCTAATGTGCTTGAGGGTGGCCAGTGCATACCGCACCATCTCGAGGGAGGCCGTATGTGTCATAGCAGGGATGATGTCAATCGGCCTCATCATTAAGCAAACCCCACACGCATCAATATATTGACACGAAGGGGAATTATTGACAATAATATTGATAATGTGAATTCAGAAATATTGTCAATCTCGATATATTGAAGTCAATATAGAATTGTCAATAAAAGCAATCGTGTAGGGTCCACTTTAAGGAGGACGTGGTGTGCTATGACGCGAGGACCGTTCGAGGGGTGCGCAACAACGCGCGAGCGGTGTTGATTGCGAAATGGCAGTCGGAGTGGGAAAACTCCACAAAGGGGAGGTGGACCTACCGCTTGATACCTTCCGTATCAACCTGGGTCAACAGGCGCCACAGTGAAGTAAACTTCCACCTGACATAGTTCCTGTCAGGCCATGGATGCTTTAGAAGTTACTTGCACAGGTCCGAACATGTACATGTACATAAGTACTCCCACCTGCCCCGCGTGCGCTGGCGTCGAGCCAGTATCAAGCGTTATGTTAGCGATATGCGGAGCGGACACCAGTCCGGATAACATCGTCCCTAGGATGTGTGGTACCACCGAGAACTGGAGCGCGGTGGTGACTGTGGTCACCCACATAGTTTCGGAACTACAACGACAGTGGCATGCCGAGCAGCAGTTGCTTACTGCCCGACTAGATCGATAGAGTATTGCTAGAGAAGCGCCATAGCGCTATAGCGGCCCCTCACAGGAAGTAATGCCTTCGGGCGGTTCAGGGGAGGTCAAGGGCCAAGCGCACAGGGTAAGGTTTAGTGGGTCGGGCGTGCAATTCTCCCATCCTCACACCCTGAGTTCTTTCTCAGGTGTCTGTGAGCAGATTTCCTCCTGTATAAAAAAAAAGACAGCAAGCTGATTTTCAGGGAGCACGTTGATATAACGAAAACCAAGCATAACATCCTGATAAGATCCCTGTATCCACTCAGTAAACAGGAGGTCTATTTTGTCCCTGAAAAATAAGCTTGCTGTCTCTACAAACAAATCATCCTTCCCGTAATCGAGTACGGTATGCCAATATGGGGGAGTTGCGCCAAATACCATCACCTTAAACTCCAAAAGATCCAGAACAAGATCCTTAGGATGATCCTAAACAGTCCCCCGCGAACTAGAAATCCAGAGATCCACCTCCTGGCTGGAATTCAGACATAAGAAGAACGGAGAATACTCATCCTGGAAAGGTTCAGAGACACTTGTCTGAGATCAACTCATCAGATCATACGTGATCTAGCACGTTAGGCTAAGTTATACTCGTAGTTAGGTAAGTTATCACTTTTTCAATTCAAACATAACACATCGTGATCCTTTATGGAGTGGCAAATTTAAAACTAAAGACAAAATCTATCATGCGAAACATGAAATTCATTGGAACTCTAAAAAAAGCTCATTGATAGTCACATTAAGAACTCAGCACCGCATTGACAAGCATCTGGAAATGTTCCTAATACCACCTGGGAAGTTGCTCATAATTGATTTAACAGATTTCACAAATTTTGTTTTCCCAATCAGTTTTTATTTATTCCCTAAAAACGGGGATGTTGTACGCCAATACCAATGTAACAGATCTGTTAATGAACAAAACCTCCGAAATTAACAAGTAGCCATGCTGCTTTTACTAACTCGACAAAAATCTCACCTGTTAAAATGTCCACCTTTGAGGTTCTTTTCGCCTAAAAATCCAATAAATTTCCCCGATAATTTCCTTCAAACGAAATGCACGCTTTCCATAATCGTAAAGCGCTACGTCGTGCCGACTTTGAAGTCCGACCGAAGAGCATTTGCAAGCCACCAAATCTCTTTAATAAATTTGACCACCTGACTGGACTGTGTCATCAAGGCGAGAAAGCACTGCTTCCTAGAATCTCGCCTTGGCCGTTCGTTTGCGTTAGGATAAATATGCACAAGGTGTGAACAAAAACCGTCACAAGAAGCGTTAAATGTCGGCACCCTACTTGAAACATCCGAAGCAGAGAAAGCAAACAAGGACGAATCGATTTGTCCTTTTTGCCTCATGTGCGTTCTACGAGAACAAAGTTCCCACACAGTCCCCTTCAAACGAGTGTTTGTCCACCTACCTGCTTTCCGGACAGGTGTCGAAAAGTCCTCCAGCAGATCCTGGAGGATGCGTTTCTGACCCGACGCCGTGCTCGGGACGACTAGCTTCTGCTGGTAGGAACCGTCCTGTCGATAGAGAGACGTAATGTTAAAGTTTTTTTGTTTTTTTTTTCTATGAAATGTGTAACAGTAATTTTGTTTTAAATTTATGTAAAAGAATGCTAAGATCATTCCGTTGCAAGGGTTTTGAACGATTTGAAGTTCATTCGAGCACTTTTTGCTATAAATCGGGCAGTTCAATGCGCAACTCGTCTGTATTAGCCTAAATGTATGCAGCGATGATATCAATAAAATCACGGACGATCAGACCACCTCAAAGTTGAGTCAAGTCAACTCAATTTCATCAAAAGGGGACTTACTCAAAAGTGCACGGCCAATGAGAATGACCCAAATTTTAGTGTAGTTTACTCATGCATCACCAAAAGTGCAAGAACTCAGCGATGAGGAAAACAATCCCGAATATGAAAAAAAGTAGATTGGATTCACTCAGTCTATTAACCACTTCATTCGAGCAGTTGAAATGACATTTACTACCACTCGAACTTTGAAATAAAACATTATGTTGAAACTTTTTCTTCTAGAACCACGAGAAAAGTAGCCAACATTTGTGCGTTTCATAAAAAAACTAGAAATTAGTTGGTCCAGTTTTGTGTAATCGCTGGTAGAAAGTCACGCCAAAACTGCTTGACAAAGTGGTTAATTGGTACTAATCCTAGACTGAGTAAAATTTGTGTCAATTTTGCTCGTTCTCCGGCAGATATTTGAGGTTTTCCACAGGAAAACATGGGGCAAATTTACCACTGCTGAGTGCTTGCACTTTTTGCGATTATGAGTAAACTGAACTCAAATTTGGGTTGATCTCATTGGTCGAGACTATACGAGTATACTAACAGACTGAGTGAAATCTCTATCGATTTTCCTCATATTCGAGAAGTTTCTCGTGGAAAAGTCCGGAAAATTCCACTCACTTTTGAGTAAATCCACTTTTGACGAAATTAAGGCGACTCGACTTAATTTTGAGTCGGTCTGTTCGTCCGTGAACTTGAAACTTTTAAAAGCTCATAGCACACGGCCGTTGAATTCAACTCAAATTTGAGTTCCATTCGGACCAAATTCACAAAAAGGGCACTCAGACAGAGCAAATTTTTCCGTGATTTTCCTCATATTACTCGAGGACAATTTTATTCAGTCAATGAGTGACTGTGGATTTTGCGAATTTGAGCAAACAGAACTCCAATTTGTGATATTTTAAAGGCCCAAAGCGCACGTAATGAAAAAAAAATCAGAAAAATTTAAATTTAAATTTTATAGGGGAAAATGGGGCAATGTGGCCACCCACTTAAAAATCAACTTATTGAGCATATTTTACCAACATAACGCATTGAAGCCTACTTGAACTATCCATTAATATTAATATTCTTCACACGGCCAATGAGAAACTACCCAAATTTGAGGTTAGTTTACTCATAAATCACTTGTAGTAAACTTGCCTCATGTTTTTCCATGCAGGTTTGTCCAGGAAAAAAAAACCCGAATATGAGAAAAGTAAAGATTGGAGTCACTCAGTCTGTTGGTACTTCTCCTAGACTTCGTAAAATTTTCGTCAATTTTCCTCATTTTCCGTCATATTTTTTAAGTTTGCTACAGAAAAAAAACATGAGGCAAATTTACTCATCGCTGAGTTGCTGCCCTTTTTGCGATTATGGGTAAACTAAACTCAAATTTGGGTCGTTCTCATTGGTCGTGCAGTGCGAATATTCGGAAAATGTTAGACTAGCTAAAAATAAGCTGAATCAAAAAATAAGGTCTAGCAGTAGTTTCTGATAACTTAGTAACTAAGTTATAAACATAAGAAACATAAACTAGATAAACATTTCAAAAGGTCCTATCTGCATTGATCGATATTCTTCATCGACTTTCTCTTTCGTTAATAACACAGCTGCAAAACCTTTGCCTGTTGTATTTGACGTTTTGGGCAGTAGATAAGAACCTCCTTGATCAAACTACGTGGTAAAAATAACGCATAATCTGTTTGCATAGTAGTGGTTATCAAAAGAGAAAGTCAATGGAGATAATCGATCAATGCAGATAGGACCATTTGAAAAGTTCATCGAGAGTTAATGTTCCTTCTTATACGACACGATGTTTGTCTAGTTTTCAATAAACGTTAAAGTTCTTCTTTACAAAATATTACTAGTCCGTTTGGGGCAGTATGGGCACCATAGATATTTCAAACATTTTCTACTTAAATTCTTCAATTTTGCATTATTTCTTTTATAAATATAACTGTATCCTATTAAATCACGTTTTGAAGCAGTTGCTTTGGTAAAAAATCAGTTATTCACAAGACTGAAAAAAATATTGCCTTAAATAGGCAGTACATCTTGAATTTAATTTATTCTACAGTAAATAATTGTTCCTTCTTAATCTTTTTAGGCTAAAACTGTTCATTGTTGACCCTTCATAAGGTTATTTACAAGGGCGCTCATTTTACCCCAACGGTTGTATTTCAATTACAAATCTAACATTTTTTAAATCTTGTTTCATAATATCCTTTTAAAATTCAATTTTATTCATGATGTAAATAGGGCTTGAAACTAACAATCTGGTTAAGAATCACTCGAATTTTCCCCTGAATTTGGTATCATTAATGCTGATTTTCTTAAGGTAGCCAAACTGCCCCACTCCCCCTAAAAAAACACTCAATGAAGCGAATCGATCACCCCCCGTTAGGCTCTCATGATTCTTTAATAATTTAACGATGTCGACCAAAACATTGCATTGAAATCATTATTCTACTCACCTCGGCGTAACACCGAACTGGAATGTGCTTGAAACCGTCCTGGTCCGGAATGGGTTCCATCAGCCTACGGTTGACGGCCCAGAACTGGTCAAACTTATCTGAAAGCAAAACCCATAGTCAATTTCAAGTTCAAGCCTAGTCGAATCCCAGTCAAAATACCATTAACTAAACCCAACCACAACTGATTGTGGTCTTTCTTCTGCATAGCCGAAACCACCTGGCCTCGATGCTTCAGCACGTCCGCCTCTTTGAGCCCGGACATAAAGTGTGCCTCAACGATGTCCCTGAATTATAAAAAAAAAATCGGTCATTAGCACCGGCAAACTAAGCTTCATTCAACTAGCCACGCCGGGAATACCTATTCGGACACCGGAAAAGCACCTCTTCCGGAAATTTGGAAAAGTGCACCGTGATGTGCCACGGCAGAATGGCTTCGCCACCGACTAGAAGATCGAACAGGACACCTGGAATTAACACATAAAAAAAAAACAATAACCAACTATCCAATCCCCTACCCTGCCGAATTTCCCTAGCCTACCAATCGGATAGTGCCACTTGAGAGGAGTTCCGTTGCTGTCCATCCACATTTCGCCATCCTGGAGCTCGTTGGAGACGAACCGAAGAAAATGCTTCCGGACCTTGTCCGTCACCAGCGGGAAGTAGCTCAAGCGCGGAATCAGCAGGAAAAACTCCTCCGGCTCGACGTCCGTCTCGTCCGTCGACAGTTCGAAGTGGACCGGGATTTTACCTTCCCAGATTTCGCGCAGGATCTCCCGATCGTTTGCCATGTTGTAAGAAACCACCACCGCCACTGGACTCGACCCGGCGCCTCGAGTGATTTTGCACTGAACTTCTGTAGCTTGTTTTCGATTTGCAAACACACTTTACGTAACGAATATTATGGATATGAATCGAAGAACCGCGGTATCAAATTTATTAAGCAAACTAGCAATAATAATTATTGTTGGCCAGGAAAGTACACATTGAGCCGACTTTGTTTGTGATTTTCACGGTTTCGCTCACTCACAGTGGTTTGTTTTGGATGTCATCCTTTTTTCCTTCTTCCTTCTGTCCTGATGGCACAAAGGAAAGAAACAGCAGAACAACCTGAGCGAGCTGTCAAAAATATCGACAGGTATCGACGACTCTGTTTACAATACACGGAAACATTAAAATACTCATCGATGCATAATAAAATGTATCCATACTTTTAACACTCCGAAAACGCCTCCAGTAAAATGTGTAACGGCAAATTGGGTTCTCTAATACCCCGTTCACATTGCAGCCTAAATCACGTAATATAGGCTGTCTTGCAATGAGCACTCATACATAGGATTTCCAGTGAAAACTAGATGTATGAGTGCTCATTGTAAGACAGCGTATATCACGTGATATACGCTGTAATGTGAACGGGGTATAAGCAACAATCAATACGAAACTAACGATTTTAAATTGGCTCACCACTTTAGTAGCCTATTGGTCCCAAGCAAACGATTAACGTACCCTATTCTAGTTGAAATTCTATTACTACACTATGTTTGTTTTGATTCGCTATGAAAGTTTGACAGATAACATCAGGGGTGTGTGGATTCATGCAGAACATGCAGGGGTGAGTGAAATAGCTTGGGACTGCTTGGGACCGTTGTTCTGGTACTGAGTGAGCCAAAAATAATAATGATTTTCTTCGGGACCCAGTGGTCTTAGAGTTACCTCTATGGTATAAGGGTATTGAGGTAAATACATATTCGTAATCTGCATTAAAAATTGGACCCAAACCCAAAATTTTATAAATTTTGGTACACTGGAACTATTTCAAATAAGTTCGATTACATTTGCAAAAATCACCTTATTAGCGCCCCTCGGTGTCACTTTGTATGGGAGCGAGCTGTCAGTTTGTTAGTTTAGTTTCAAACAGTGAAGTTGTTATTTTGACTTAAATCTTAGTTTAAAAATCGAGATGAAAGTGTGCGGGTTCGAAAAAAAAATCGCTGTGCTCAGAAAACGAAGCTCTATCGGATGATGTATAAAAAACAATACATTTTTCAAAATTAAAGAACCCAATTAGCAATGTTTGAAAAAGCATTGCTCAGCAATTTATCCAAAAATTTTAAATCTGATGAAAAAGAATAAATTTTTTAAATATGTAGTTTCAAATGGCGCTTATTGATTTGAAATACGTCAATAAATGGCTTTGATTTTTCAAACATTGCAAGTTTTCCGTTACTCATTTTACCGGAGGCATCGGGTTTGGAGTGTTAATATATCACAGTTACAAGAACCATAGGGATAGGTACTATTTTGCAGAATACACTTATTTTCAGTACAACTACGCTTGTACTACACAGAAAAAAAAGTTGTTGAATATTACATCCAAACTGCTGCAACCAGGTCAATCCATCGGTTGTGTAATATAATGTTGTACGATGTAAAATTACATCCATTGATGTAATATTTTGCTATTACATCATTATTTCATACATCAGCTTGAATTACATTGATCGATATTACATTTTTTTTGCTGTGTAGTTGACAATAAATGTAAAATAATTTACTATGATTATGTCAAAACTAATATTCATGCTCAAACGGCATAGTAATTTTGATAGAAATAATAGTAAAATTAAATTAAATTCGCTTAGCATAGCATATGCGGACGTACACATCGTGGAGTGCTATAACATGGTCAACCAATACATTTAGCAGAAAATATCGTGTGTGGCCGTGAAACAACACTTATGATTAGTGGTTTTCCACTAAAATAAGCATCATGGCCACATCCTTACAATCACAGGGGATAAGAGGGAAAATTAGAGCAACATCTACTTAAGAAGGGGCAGAAATCCCATACTACCTTCATAGATGTCAGGGGAGGGAACAGTTGCGTTAGTAGTAAATGGTCAGGGGGTAAGTCATTCTGCCACATTGTTTCTGTGCTTATTATGGTTTATGTGTGTTTCTGGTGTTTCTTCGTGTCGGCCGAACTGTTAAAACTTCAACCGAAAAAAATATGCTTACTGGAAACTGTCGTGACCTTTCCGCAACATTCCACTTAGCCACGAAAAGTCTTCCAGTAAAACATTTCTAGACGTATTCTTCCGTCAATGTCTCTTGACGGAAGAGACAAAAAAAAATCAAAAAATAAATATATGTACTCACACCTTTTCATAATTAGGGAAAATGCAGGTAATGTCGGCCTAAGTGTCCCTAATTTGAGCCCATACATAAATTCAGCAATCGACTAAATTTTCAATAGCAACCAAAAATCCATTAGTAACGTCCCAATAACGCGTTCATCTAGATAAGATTGATAAATAGCAGATTTTTAGCGATGGGCCCAATCTTAGATCCATAGGCCAACATTAGAGACATTTCCCCTATTTATTTATTTCTCTTACATGTCTTATACACTACAGCAACCATATCCTCGATCATAAAAAAACGCTGAAACTGATGGATCCACCAGTGACTCTTTCGCTGTTGTTTGCCTAATGCAACAAAGAACATCTGATTCACTACCGAAGATATGTGGAAGGCGAACTGAAACAGCTAGTTCAATTCATCAAGATGTGCAAAATTCAGCTCTAAAAGGCAACATAGCATAAACAGAACACTACAGGCCCTACCATTAGGTTCTGCAGCGTGACGTCACGAATAAACTCAGTGTTAATCGACTGAACCTTTTGGACAGTTCAGTGCTACCAACAATCAATACGAAACTAACGATTTTAAATTGGCTCACCACTTTAGTAGCCTATTGGTCCCAAGCAAACGATTAACGTACCCTATTCTAGTTGAAATTCTATTACTACACTATGTTTGTTTTGATTCGCTATGAAAGTTTGACAGATAACATCAGGGGTGTGTGGATTCATGCAGAACATGCAGGGGTGAGTGAAATAGCTTGGGACTGCTTGGGACCGTTGTTCTGGTACTGAGTGAGCCAAAAATAATAATGATTTTCTTCGGGACCCAGTGGTCTTAGAGTTACCTCTATGGTGCTACTGTTTACAAGCACGTTTTTTCGAAAAAAAAAATATTTTAAAATCTCCGAATTTTAACTTGAAAATTTGTCGAGAAACAGCGCGGTGAAAGGATGTTGCTCGTGGACAATGCAGAAGTGTGGTTTACATCTCACTGCAGTCTGAAAATTATCGAGAAAACCTACCCAAGAAAAAATTGACTAAGGCCACGTAAACAGTACCACTGAACTGTCATTAGGTTGAGGTTAACCCCGACGGTGCAAAACCTACAATAAATCAACAATAAACCAGAAACTAACGAAATTACGATATACGTACAATAATACCATAGAGGTAACTCTAAGACCACTGGGTCCCGAAGAAAATCATTATTATTTTTGGCTCACTCAGTACCAGAACAACGGTCCCAAGCAGTCCCAAGCTATTTCACTCACCCCTGCATGTTCTGCTTGAATCCACACACCCCTGATGTTATCTGTCAAACTTTCATAGCGAATCAAAACAAACATAGTGTAGTAATAGAATTTCAACTAGAATAGGGTACGTTAATCGTTTGCTTGGGACCAATAGGCTACTAAAGTGGTGAGCCAATTTAAAATCGTTAGTTTCGTATTGATTGTTGATAATACTGATTGGTGACAGTAGATTTCGTTGTAATTATATTTTATTTTTTGGTTATTGTATGGCTATTTTTTCCGGGCTACCGTGTTATTTTTATGTCAGAGGAGCGGAGCGACGGGCAAGAGTCTAGAATAAGCTTCTTAGAGCAACCGTACCAATGAGTAAATAAGGCACATTTATCAACCTCTACCATAACGCTATTTGCGTACCGGGGGTTGCTATTCAGGTTGGGGAAATAGCAATCCGCACCTTGGGAAGTAGTGAGTTCATAAATTTAGCAACCCGGTAGCAACGCATCAGACGGTTGCTATTTTGAATAAACGCCAAAAGATTGTTTTGCCGGTGTGGAAAACGGTAACTTAAATTATGACTCTGATAGCAACGACCGATGTGGAGAGGAGTAATTAAGCCAAAATGGAAACGCTGTGCGTAAGTAAAATAGTGCCGCAAATGGCAACGACTGGTCGGTTGCTCTTAAGAAGATTATTAAAGAAGTTTCTATATGCAAAATAATGTTTGCCGGAATCCTTCTTAAAATTCCTTTACAACTGTTTTGACAATTAGATTCCTTTGAAATTCTGTTCAAATTTTGTTTTGAACTCAACACTCTTATCAGAAATCCTCAAAATTCTCTTCTGATTTGTTTTTCTCTTCTCCTCAATTTTGGTTTTATTAAAACCAGAATACGATTGGACTCTCTAGTAGAGAGAGAATAAAATTCTCCCCAAAACTCATATGGCATTTTGATCAATATGTTCTATAGATTTCTTCAAAAGTTAAGTGTTGCAAAATAGAAAACTTCCGTGTCAAACGAAAAATGATATCAGGCATAACATTTGATAACGGCACAAAAGCTTTTGTAAACAAACTTTTTAAGGCCCTTTACACGCTAATCGAAGTACGCTCACGCAAACCAACAACATCATCGGATAGGGGCAACCCTCACCTTTTCGAAAGTGGTACGTTGGCCCTAAGCACCACTAGGGGTGTGCAGGATACATAAGTAAGTAAGTACCCAACTAACATTTTCAGCTTTGTAAGTCAACTTTTCCAGCGTTGTGCTGTAAAGTAGCTGAAAAGAAGCTGCAGATACAGTTACAAGCAAAAGCTAGCAAAATATTTTTCGAGAGCGTTTACTCAACTTTCTCACAACCATTATTCAATTTGTCAGTCGCACTGAATAACATCAGCCAATAAACGCTAATGTCACTTCTATACACACACTAATCAACTTTCAACTTGTAGCTGCAAAACAAAGCTAACAAAGTGAATATATTACTCATTTGATGGCTTCTACACAACCAACCACTCTTGTTGAATAACATAAACATCAAAAGCGCTTTTTCAACAACTAAACAACCTGTACTCAGCTTATAAACTGTGTTAGAGCAACTTCGGAAGCATTGATGTGTCCAAATTTGCGAAGAAATTCCTGGTTTGGCAAGCCATCTGCACGTGCGGGAAGCGGAGTGCACCTTTCGTGACCCAGGACACGATGAACGGACAGGTGTACATAAAAGAGTGCCTCCAGAAGCGGCTGCTTCCTCTCCTGAAGGCCCACAACGTCCCAACAATCTTCTGGCCGGATTTGGCCTCATGCCACTACTCCAAGGACGTGCTGAAGTGGTATGCGGACAATAAGGTCAATTTCGTGCCGAAAATGTTCAACCCTCCCAACACTCCGGAGCTCCGCCCCATTGAGAAGTACTGGGCGATTATGAAGCAGCACCTTCTTAAACGACCTAAGGTAGTGAAGACAGTCGAGGAACTGAAGAAAGTATGGGTTTACATGCAAAAAACGGTTGATTCACAGGTTGTGCAGAATCTTATGGCCGGGGTTAGGGCCAAGGTGCGGGCATTTGCGTATGGACTGTAAATAAAATACGAGTAAAATGGTAAAATGAAGTTTAATAGTTATTTCTCAATCCCTGAAAATTTGATGGCAATCGGATGAAAACTCGAATTTTGCGAATCAATTTTGTGTGTGGCAATTTCATCGTGGACACCCTTTATTGTTTATTTGTTGTTTATTTAATCACTCGATAGCCGGCTATCGAAAGAACATATTAATTTTGTTTAGTGATAATGAATTTTAAGAGTCATGACGGAAAGCTTGGGATTAAACACATGCTCAGTAAGCAAAAACGATCCCTTCAGGGTCATCGAGCATCTCAGAACCATAACGCTTCGCGACAATACAGGACTACGTTTTCGCTTGATATGCAAATAGTTTCCGAGGTTAATGTTCAATATCAAATATACAAATGATGCTGGCGATTTATTGTGCTGAACAAAATTCGGTTTCGATCCATCACCGTACTTATTGGAAGAATATCTGGTCGCCCAACCCACTCGGTCATATCAGCTGATTATTATTTTTCGGAATCCTAGATTTGGCGAAATTTAAAAATTAAAAACAAAAATGTTCAGGACTGAAAACTAAAAATAAAAGAGCCTTGGAAAATTAGCAAGACTTTAGAATCTAGACAAATTTCCGGGTTCCTGGCAGCAAGCCTGGCACTTCGAAGTATTTTTTTTGTTCATTGATTTGTTTTCCATCGATCTTGTTTTTCGTGCAGGGATGCAGCTACCTGGACCCTACCTACCTACCTACCTATATACGGCTGATATAAAACTTGGAAAACCTTATGCTGGGTTTAGACTAGGCAAGTCAAATGATCAACTCAGTTGAATTCAATTGGCTTGAAAAGTTGAGCCTGGTTCAACTTTTTTCAATTCAAGTGAGTTGATCAAGTCAGTTGAATGGCATGGTTTACACGTTCAATTCGCGTTCAAGTCAGTTGAATTCAACTGACTTGATCAATTGACTTGCCCTATCTAAACCCAGCTTTAAATTAACATTATATTGCAGAAAGGGCCCTCATCGGGCTGAGCGGGCTTCGTAGTTACTTGGGCGAATTGCCTTAGATTTTTTGAATTTTATAGTTATTCTGAAAAGAGTTGATAGGGAAGTGTGAGATGAATCCCTTGTAAATTGAACGGAGCATTCCATGAAATTCTGAGTAGATTTCCATCGTACCACAGATGATAGTTGCATTGAGAGGAGAGTGTGTGGATCTTAAGATGACTTTTAACGAACGTTGAATTCAAGGAATTGCTGCGAGCATCTGTAAGGAAATCTGCTAATAATATAATGGGTATGCTGGAAAGAATCCAAAAGGGAATCATAAAGATAATTTCAATGGAGTTCTGCCGAATGTTTCTATAAAATTCCGCGATTAATTATAATGAAATTTTGACGAATTTAAAATGAATTCTGAGAGAAGAACCTCACAGAAGGGTGTACCAAGGAAAATATGAAGAATGTTCCAAGGGAATTTCGTAGAGAATAATGGAGACAAAATTTAGCGAATCTTGGGAATTATTATCAGTTTGAGGGAATTATGGAATTGTAGAGTGATTTCTATGAGGTTTCTATGGAGAATGCATGTGGTCTGCAGAGAACGCTTAGAATGTTATTGAAAAAGTATGGAGATTATCAAGATTATTTTTGGGGAACCCAGCAAAGAAGTATGATGTAATTCTAGGATGATTCAAAGGGAACTTTTGATTTTTTTTTTAGATATCCTGTGAACAGTTCCAAGGAAATTCAAACTAGCAAACATTTTCATTATCTGAGACACAGATAGATATAGAATAATACTGAAATAGTTTAGTTTAACATAGGGGAATTTACGTATTCTCGGCAACCTAAGCAGCGACCTTCTTTCTATAGCCTTTTTCTCTAAGGAACGCACACATATGCAGTATTGGTTTGTTTACAATCTTTTGCTGCCAGCTACTCTAACAATTTCAGTCGAAAGAATTGTCAAAAACCGTTTTGAAACGCTTTTACAAAGCTCCAATCTTCTCTAGTGAGAGCGAGTATTGTCGGCAACCAGTTTTTCTTCGGCAACCGTTCCATTTGAACTGCATGTAAATCTGCTGTTCTATTATCGGCAACTCGAAATCAGCTACAATTTGTAGTGCGTGTGTTTCATTTTAAGAAAACCCTGCTAGATTGCTTTTTCTTAGTGGTAAAAATATAGTCAAATTGAAGCTGAAAGCATAAAGAATCGTTTGCATGCATTCAGCGAAGTGTTTTCGTAAGAAAATCCAGTGAAAATAGTGTTTCAATTTGTGTTGCCGAAAATAGTCTGTCATGCCGAAGCCGTCATTTCCCCTACTGTATTCGTGTTTTTCGTGCTTTGTGCGTTCAATTTTGGGAAACGAAATGGGGAAAATGAAAGAATCAAAGGTTACATGGCACATTACCGATTTGATGCGTCGTTTGGCTGGCCGACATCGACCTAGCGTTGTGGTTTTGCCAAACTATTCCTCCTTCCTCGTGGCGTGCTTCAAAACTTGGCGGTCTTAACAAAACGATTCAGGGGACGGGGTTCGATCACCAGCCGGGACAAAGGTCCAAGCGACCCACTGGAGGCTTTCACTAGCTGCATCACTGGATTGGATCAGTACACTCGCCGTTGTTTAAGTGCGATCGCTATCATAGGTGCATGGTGCATTCCGTTTTACCTGAAATTAATAAGTTTCTTATTAAACTCAAATGCTCCAAATGTATTTCATATAATGTTTTCCGCAGAAGCTGCTATAATTAACTACTTGTGATTGATAGTTGATCAAAATTCCGTCTCAGGTTTTCCTACCTCTTTGTCTGAGTGACGTCAAGTCAAATTTAGCGGCAAAAGAAGGACAAAAACTTGTTTATGGATTGGTATTTTTGATAGTTTAACAACTTTTATTTCAAACATATGAGCTTTTAAAATTTCAAGTTGAAAGTGAAAGAAACGCTTTCAAACAAACAAAATTACCTTCATTCAGAATATTTTCGTAGTTAAAACTACGAAAAAAACAGACAAATTATTTGAAATAGCAATATTATTATAAGAACCATTTTTTTTTGTGTAGCAACGGCGATCTTCGTTTACCTATTAGCCTCAGTGTGATGATGTTGATCGTCTACCACACCGACGATAACCGTTGTAGTCAACTGTGGCTGTGACTGGTGGTAGGTATTAACGCTTGACGGAAGGTGCATTTAGGTGCATTTAGGGAATTGGGATGTTCAGGAAGTGGATACATTCGATTTCAAATTCAATTTTGTTTTAATCAGTTCAATTCAATTTTTAACTTTACTAAACTACTCGGTAAAAACTAAAAGAAACTATTTACAAAAACAATGTAACGTATTTGATAGGTTACAAGTTAAACAGATATAATGAAGGGTTCGTGGATTTTTCTATGTTTCGAGGGGTGGATCGATTAGCTTGGGACCGAAGAAAGTACCAGACCTGAGCCAAAAAGTTGAGCACGTTTCTTCGGGACCTTCTGGTCTCAGAACTACCTCTATGGTTATACATAGCGTCGGAAGAAATGCGTTTGAATCGCAAAATGATAAGCTGAATCAGTGTAAAAGAGATGTTCCTAATATATTTTAAACACTCAGAAATTTACCAACAAATTCATACAAACTTGCAATTCACATGGTAATGAAAACCTCGATGAAAACAATTCTGATAATTAAAAAAATATGACTACACTGAACGTTTTTCTAGCGATTGGAACATCAATTTTATATCAATATCATTGATTTCTCGATTTCATATTTCAACTGGACCAGATTACCCTGAAACTGACCTGGCAACGCTGAGTCATAACAACACGGATTGAAAGAAATTTCACCTAACCGTGCGCAGAGAAAACAGAGGTAACTCAACCCATGAGTGCAGTCTCTTGAGCTTTCCCTTGGTGAGGCACGATCAGTCTCGTTCCAGGTTCCCTCGGTGTCGGAACGCGTGCGGGTTTTTGTCCGGTAGAAAATTTAGAATCGAATCCGTTTTTTTTTCCCACGACACGTTTTGTAATAATTCCAATCGGATCGGATGCAGCAGCAGTGAGAGATAATGAGCAATAACTGCTACTATCAAATCATAATCGTCGCCGCCGTTGGAAGCATCTGCCTGCTGGTGACGGTAGCGGAAGCCGTTCGCTATGTGCCCAAATGGAAGAAACAGGTTGGGTCAAGAAGAAAGTTGAGCATTTGAGGAGTTTATTGAATATACCGACCGACGCTATTAGACCGGAGCTGCCCACTGCATTTCGGATCGGGTTTCACCTTTTCTACATTAGTGTGAACATAGACGATCGATCGATCGATCGACTCGGCCGTCGGTCGTTGCTATGTTTGTAATTATGCACAGCCTACGCTGACGCTGATGGTTGAGTAAGGTTCAGGAGAAATTTTGAATTTCACCGCGATCTAGATTGGCCGAATGATTTGGGAAAAGAAGACGGCGTCGTCGGCGTGGTGACTTGAATGCAGGGGCAACCGACTAACCGCATTTATGAGTGAAGTTGGAACCCGTTATGTTGTTGTTCGCTCGCGTAATAGTCGCTGCATGACTCGACTGAAGGAAAACCTAAATGGAGCGAAAGAAACAAATTACCAGAGCATCTGCTCTGATCTGCGAAGTGCTGAGTGAAAGAAGCAATTTTATGAAAGATCATTGGACGGGCAAGAATGTTATTGGTTCGAGCAAAGTGCGCTGCTGTTGGACACTTATTGCGAAAATATAGAAATGTACTGTTAGGTTTCCTGTTCTTGACAACCACTTCTCCTACCTGGACCTATTCGCTATTCGATGGTGAGCAGCTCGGAGCTTTGTGCCTTTTAAGCAAAAGTTGCTAATTGTTTGTTCAAATATCGTAATATTGAAGCTTTCGATGTGCATTAATCTGTGTGTACCATTAATGTGCCCATTTCTCCAAACGAATGTTGATGAGTCAAACATTGAAAAAACCGTTCGTTTGTGGTAGTCATAATGCAAATATGATTATTAAAAAGGATGGTCGGTTAATCCATTTGAATTTTTTTTTTTTTGTTAATTGCTTTATTTGTACAGGCTCATTCGAATAAACTTTACAGAGCCAAGTTATCATTTTCTTTATACATTATAAATGTCTTAAATCTAAAATTAAAGGATTGGAACCGATTACTCGCGGTCTTCTCGAGGTTAGTGGATGACAATAGTTTGGATCGGGAGAGGGAAAAGGAGATTTGGAATATGATTTATGATTAAAAAATTTCACTATTTCTAAAACAAATACTTAATCCTATCGACGTTATATCAACTCTGTAATTATACAATTATTACAGAAACAAATCTACAAAAAAAAAATACACACACACATACAAAACACAAACTAAACACAAGGTTAATCAAACTTACAATCTATAGTTAATATTCTTCAAGAAAACATATATGAGTTGCATAAACTCCAGATCGCGTCCAGCCAAAATATCCCGAACTGGAACATTAGGTTGTCTACCTCGAGCCCGAAGGGAATCGTACAACTCGGATCTGACTCCACGGTGCTCAGCACATGACCAAATAATGTGATCTGCGTCCTGGTAACCTTGTCCACATTCACAGAGATTGCTGTCCTTCAGCCCAACACGGAACAAGTGAGCGTTTAACGAATAGTGATTGGACATGAGGCGAGACATCATACGAATGAAGTCTCGACCCACATCCAACCCCTTGAACCATGAACTCTTCGACACCTTAGGGATGATCGAATATAGCCATCGTCCCAAACTCCCTTCACTCCACTTATTCTGCCAGCTGACGAGTGACTGTTGACGATAAATGAAGAAAAATTCATCGTAGGCGATTTGTCGATCGTAAATATCGCCTTCCATAGCGCCCACCTTAGCAAGTGAGTCAGCCATCTCATTGCCCGGAATCGAGCAATGAGATGGGACCCATGCAAAGGTGATGACAAAAGATCTTAAAGATAAAGCACTTAAAAGCTCTCGTATTTTCATGAGAAAATACGAGGAGTGCTTTACCGGCCTCATAGAGCGAATAGCCTCGACAGAACTGAGACTATCCGTAAAAATAAAATAATGATCTGGTGCAAGTGAGGCGATCGTTTCTAGCGTACAATGTATTGCCGCCAGCTCAGCAACATATACGGAACAAGGAGCTTGAAGCATTCGAGAGGCGCTATGAAATTCGTTATAAATACCAAAACCAGCGGACGCCTCTATTAGTGATCCATCTGTGAAGAACGATCTTGCGGAATCAACTTGGCCAAACTTTGCAGCGAAAATTGACGGACCAATCATGGAACGATGATGCTCTGGGATTCCGCGAATCTCTTGCGTCATTGATAAATCAAAATGAACAGAACTGTCGAAGTCGGAGAAGCAAACACGATAGGGATTATGCTGCGAAGGGCTGACATCCTGTGTTATGTACACGTAGTACAATGACATAAAACGAGTTTGAGGGTTTAGCTCAAGAAGCTTCTCAAAGTTTGCAATCACCAGTGGGTTCATAATTTCACAACGGGTGAGGAGCCTGAGGGACAATTCCGAAAACCGATCAGAGAGTGGCAACATGCCCGCTAACACTTCGAGACTCATCGTATGAGTCGAGTGCATGCATCCTAACGCGATACGAAGACAGTGATACTGGATCCGTTCCAGTTTGATGATGTGCGTTTTAGCCGCCGACTGGAAGCAAAAACTACCGTACTCTAAAACCGATAAAATCGTTGTCCGGTACAACGTTAGAAGATCTTGCGGATGGGCTCCCCACCACGTTCCGGTAATTGTTCGGAGAAAATTGATCCTTTGTTGGCATTTCCTCTTCAGATACTCAATGTGGGATCTCCAGGTGCATTTTGAATCGAACCAGACCCCAAGATATTTGAAGGACATAGAATGAGTGATCGGTTTACCCAAAAGTTGAAGCTTTGGTTGTGCTGGGCTATGCTTCCTAGAAAAAACGACCAACTCAGTTTTCTCCGTGGAGAATTCGATACCTAGCTGGATAGCCCAAGTAGACAAATTGTCTAAGGTATCCTGTAAGGGTCCTTGCAGGTCGGCCTCTCTGGGTCCTGTCATAGACACTACTCCGTCATCTGCAAGTTGTCTCAACGTGCAGTTGTCCCTTAGACAATTGTCAATTTCTCTGACGTAGAAATTATACAGAAGGGGGCTTAAACATGAGCCCTGGGGGAGACCCATGTAGCTAAATCGTGAATCTGTAGAGTTTCCATGAGAAAAGCTCATATGTTTCTCTGACAGCAAATTGTACAAAAAGTTATTAATTAATGGAGAAAGGCCACAAGCGTGGAGTTTGTCTGAAAGGACTTCAACCGATACTGAATCAAAAGCCCCCTTAATATCCAAGAAGACAGAAGCCATTTGCTCTTTATTAGCAAAAGCCAACTGAATTTCAGTTGAAAGCAACGCGAGACAGTCGTTCGTTCCCTTGCCCCTACGGAAACCAAATTGAGTATCTGAGAGTAGGTGGTTCAACTCAACCCATTTGTCCAGGCGAAAAAGGATCATTTTCTCCAACAATTTTCGAATACACGATAACATCGCGATGTTAAGATACGAATTGTGATCTGACGCGGGTTTTCCAGGCTTTTTAATGGCTATAACTCTCACCCGCCTCCAATCATCCGGAACAATATTAAGCTCCAGGAACTGACCAAACAAGTTCAACATGCGCCTCTTAGCGACGTCTGGGAGGTTCTTCAACAAGTTGAACTTGATTCTATCAGCCCCCGGAGCCGAATTGCCACACGAAAGGAGCGCGAGTGAGAGTTCCAGCATTGAAAAAGGCTGGCTGATCTCGTCTACCGAATTCGTCGTTTCGCGAGGAATCATCTGTGCCGGCACAGAATCAGGACATACTTTTCGCGCGAACTTGAGAATCCAACTATCGGAGTACTCCTCGCTCTCGTTGTTTGAAGACCGGTTACGCATCCTTCGCGCCGCATTCCAAAGCGTATTCATCGACGTTTCGCGCGATAATCCGTCCACGAATTGCCGCCAGTATCCGCGTTTCTTGGCTTTGATGAGGCTCTTGAGTTCGCGTTCAAGAGCCGAGTACGTTTCGAAATGTACGGGTGTTCCACGTTTCCGGAAAAGCTTAAACGCGTCGGACTTTTTACGATAAACCTCAGTGCATTGCTGGTCCCACCAAGGGGAAGGAGGTTTCCTACGGAAAGACGTTCCTGGAACCGGCCGAGTTTGAGCTTGAAGCGCGCTGTCCAAGATCAGATTGGAGAGGAAGTTATATTCCTCCAATGGTGGAAGCCCTTCTACCGACATTAGGGCATCTTCTATCACATTCTTGAACTTTGTCCAATCGATATTACGGGTAAGATCGTACGCGGCGACGTTAACGGGTTCCGACGGATTGAACCCACTGGCAACTGAAACTTTGATCGGCAAGTGATCACTACCGTGGGGATCTTGGATCACATTCCACGTGCAATCCAACGATAATGAGTTAGAGCAAAGTGTGAGGTCTAATCTACTTCCATTCGAGGATGGGCCAGCCAAACGTGTTACTTCTCCATTGTTAAGAATTGTCATATTAAAGCTGTCACAGAGGTCATATATCAAAGTAGAACGGTTGTCATCATACAGTTCCCCCCAGCCTGTACCGTGGGAATTCAAATCTCCCATAATCAACCGTGGAGCAGGAAGTACCGAACAGATATCTGAAAGTTGTTTGCGATTAACAACGGCTCTAGGAGGAATATAAACAGAAGCAATACAAAGGCTCTTACCTTTAATAATAGCCTGACATGCAACAACTTCAATACCTGGAAATTGTGGAAGATTCACTCTATAGAAGGAATGGCACTTTTTGATCCCCAAAAGTACCCCTCCTCCACGCGAATCCTCACGATCCAGTCGAATAATGTTAAAATCATAAAAAGGAAGATCGATATCTGAAGAGAGCCAAGTTTCACAAACAGCAAATGCATCACAATCATTATTGTGAATTAAAAACTTAAAAGAATCTAATTTAGGAATGAGGCTTCGACAATTCCACTGTAGAACAGTGATCAAATCCCCGACCTCGTTTGGAAAATTATCCATCGAAGGAAATGATTGCTGCAATGAGGGGCCACTTCAATGTCAATTGCTTCAAGAGGGTCTTCACAGAAGGAAGCATTGCCAGAACAATGCTTTTGAGAG